TCGGTTTTACAACGGGTCACTCGACAACTGACGCTGGAGTTAAGCTTATTAAACTTATATTTTGTGCATGGGAGAATTCAGAGGATGCTTTGGGTATGTTTTGTGACCTTTCCAAGGTCAAAAAACATACCCAAAAGGTTTCCAAGGCCTGCGACTTTGTTCACCATGAGACATTAATCAGGAAGCTATAGTACTATGGTGTCAAGAACACATCGCTTAAACTTATTGTTTCCTATTTAACTAATAGAAAGCAGAAGGTTATTATTAATGGTAAAAGTTCTTCCGGGTCATCTGTACTAATGGGTGTCCCTCAGAGCTCGATTCTCGGTCCATTCCTATTCGTAGTGTATACTAATGACTTACCTTCCCTTGTAGCAGATAATCATGATATAATATTATTTGCTGATGATACTTCCTTGATTTTAAACTTAAACGTCAATCATTTAAATGTGACGAAGTGAATAATGCTATATCAAAATTAATGCATTGGTTTAACGTTAATAATCTACATTTAAACGGATATAAAACTAATTGTTTGAAATTTACAACAACAAATGTTAAAAATCTGAGTACCAATGTGTTTTTAAATGGGGAGGAACTGCACCCTGTTTTATCCATTGTTTTTCTTGGCATCACTCTTGACGCAAAGCTTCAGTGGGGCTCCCATATATTCAAATTAGCAAGCAGGCTAAGTTCTGCAGCCTATGCTGCAAAAAAGATAAGAGGTCTCACTAGTGTCGATACAGCTAGATTAGTTTATTTCAGTTATTTCCATAGCATAATGTCTTATGTGATTTTGCTTTGGGGAAACGCAGCTCATTCAGAAACTATTTTGGTTTTACAGATGAGGACCATTAGAGCTATTTAAAATATAATACCGAGAGAGTCTCTTAGAGATAAATTTAAAGAAATAAATATATTATCTTTGGCCTTTCAATATATTTACGAAAACTTGTTGAAAAATGTTCAGAAAAACAAAGGTAGTTTTAGTAAATAAAAGTAATATACATATATAGGAAAAAACACAAGCTAGTGATACTAGTTTCTCGACTCCACAGAGTCAGTAATTCATTCTTTGGGCAATGTATACGCTATTACAGCAAGGTCCAGGAAAGTTTACAGGCTCTCTTTATTACCAAGTTTAAATGTTTTGTTAAGCTTAAACTGTATAAAAAGGGTTATTATGGTACCAATGAATACATGGTTGATAATAACCCATGGGAATGAGGTGGTGACTTGCAAGCAGTTTCTAAAATAAAATTTGTAAACAGTTTGTGATTATTATTACTGTAAAATTTATATAAAAAAGTCCCGCTGGGTTTCTTGCTGGTTCTTCCCAGAACAGAGGGTTTTTTTCGAACCAGTGGTAAAATAAAGGAATAACTTTCAATAAGAATTACACATGTAATCTACATTGAATAAAATATTATTCGAATCTATTCATGCAAGCAAGCTGGTAGCATTCATTGCTATGCAGACGACAGCATTGGTGATGATTTATACACCGGCCGTGTATTTCTCAGGAAATCGTCACCGAGTACCGGAAAAAACTTGTGTGAAATCGAGAGTTTGTTGAACAAAGTTTCAGACTGGGGATGACTAAGTCTAGTCCAGTTCAATCCCAAGAAGAGAAAAGTTTGCGTGTTTACCGCTAAACGAAACCCCTTTTTTGTATCTCCTCAGTTTTAATGCACTTCTCTTGATGCTTTAGCCAGTATCGGAATCCTCGGTGTCTACATATCGAGTAACGTGCAGTTTCGTGGTTACTTGGAAGAGAAGGCCAAATTGGCCTCTAAAAAGTTTGGCGTGCTCAGCAGGGTGGGACAGAATTTGATGCCGGCACACCGCTTGCAACTTTACAAGGCACAGGTTCGGCCTCACATAGAATACTGTTCCCATCTCTGGGCAGAGATTTTTTTAACAATTTATAAATCTTAAATCAAATCATCGTAAAAATAATTCGAAAAGAAACGTGCAAAAAATGTTATAATTAGACTTACTTATCTTCACGCACAATCCCTGACGGGGTAGCCAGAGAGAACAGATCGCCAAGTGTCACGATCCTTACAAACCTCTTTCGCTTCTTTCAGATTCATTATCTTCTTCATGCATGCACGTCTAGGTATCCGAGTACTCTTGACCCTACCCTCTTCGAGCAATTTGCTCACATTGTCTTCGAAAGTTAGTCTCGGTCTACCTCGACACCTTTTAATATTAACTTTCGCGCTATATATTTTCTTCACCATTCGGTCTTCACTCATTCGCTCAACGTGCCCAAACCACCGAAGCACGCCCTTATCAATTTTTGTGATAAGGTCATCTTTCAAACCTGCCATATTGCGAATCTCTTCGTTTCGCTTTCGGTCGGCCATGGTAACGCCGCACATTTTACGAAGAGATCGCATCTCCACTGCATTCAACTTACTTTTATGCTTCTTCTGGCATACCCAGATTTCGCTGCCATATAACAAAGTCGGTACCAACACTGCGTTATGTATTGCAAGGCGTGCACTCTTCGCTACGCCTTGCCTTTTGACTAACGCAGTCAGGGCACCATTGACTTTGTTTCCGGCAGCGATACGCCTGTCCACATCTAAATTACATCTTCCATCCCGGCTAAAAGCACTCCCCAAGTATACAATTTCATTTACCTGTTCTAGACATTCCTGATTTACCCATATTTCACACTTCGTTCTCTCTTCGTCCCTTTCAAATACCAGAACCTTAGTTTTATTAGCATTCAAACGGAGACCTTTAATTTCACATTCCTCTTTCATACACGTGACTAATGCCTGCAGTTCTGCCTCTGATGGTGCAATAAGCACTGCATCATCAGCATACAGCAGACAATTTACTTTTATGTCACCCAATTTCACACCCAAACAACTATCTTTCAGCTTCTGTAAACAGCTGTCGAGATACAGTATGAACAGCCAGGAAGACATGACACAACCCTGCTTTACGCCCGTTTGGACGCTAAACATGGGTGACAGGTCATGCCCTACTACCGCACACAGGCTTTACAGTCACAGTAAAGAGACTGTACAGCCCTTAGCAATCGACCATCCACACCATACCCCGGCAACAGTTCCCACATTTTCTTCCTTACAACCTTATCAAATGCTTTCTCAAGATCCACAAAAGCACAGAAAATCATCTGGTTAGCAGCCAGAAGCTTTTACGTGATCATGCGGAGAGAAAACATTTGATCCGTGCATCCTCTTCCAGGTCTAAATCCGCATTGTGCCTCCCATAGAAATCTTTCCGATTTCTCTTGCATCCTACGTGTCAAAACCTTCGAGTAAACTTTACTTGCTAAACTGGTCAAGCTGATCGCCCGATAGCACCCGCAGTCAAAATGTGAACCTTTACCTTTATATAAAGGCACAATGACTGCGGATCGCCAATCATCCGGGACATGCCCCGTCCGCCAGCACAAATTGCACAGCAGATGAAAGCTGTCCCAGACGCGAGGCCCACCATACTTGACCATTTCAGCAGTAACTCTGTCTAGTCCCGCAGCCTTACCACATTTCAAACTTCGAATCGCACGTTCAATCTCTTTCATACTGATGACCTCAGTGTCATCGAGGTCCGGGTCTGGCGTACCAGTCACGGCGTCATCCCCGGATCCCTCACTAAGGTCATCACACGCATACATTTCTCTATAAAATTCGCTCCATCGCTGCATGACGTCCGATTTTTCTGAGAGGACGTCATTAGTTCTCGAAAGCACTTTGTTCATTCTTAAGGCCGTCGCACCACTTCGGGTCCTTCCAACCTCTTTCCAGAAGAGTTTGGAGTTCTCCTTAAAGTTGTGCGACAACCTTTCGTCCGCTTCCATTCTACACCTTTCACGCACTTCCTCAATCAGTGCTTTCGTGTGAACTTTCTGCAGCCTATATCTTTCTTTCATCTTCTCTCTCATATCCTTATCATTACTAGAGGCCAAGTAGTCTAACCATGCTTTCTTCTTCTTCTTTACAGCTTCTTTCACTTCATCATTTCACCATGCATCTCTTCTTTTACTACTGCCTCTTTTTATTGTTCCACACACTTCTTCCGCTGCACTTACCATTCCATCCCTAAGGTTCTGTCAAGTTCTTTCTACACATTCTTTTCTGCCATCGATGTTGTCAAGCTTTTCGGCTACCCTCGCATGATATTTGTCCCTAGTATCCGCTTCCTGAAGCTTCCAGCTTCGGATGCGACAGACCGACTGTGGTTCTGTTACTGCCGTCCGGTAGCGCCAACCCGCAAACAGGGTCTGTTAGTTAGGTCTAAATCTAGTAATCACTAGATAGTGATCCGTTCCCAGGTCAGCACCCCTGAACACTCGCGTATCCATCACCTGTTTTCGCAGTCGGTCATCCACCAGGAACAAGTCAATCATACTTCTCTCATTCTTTCGTTCTCTAGTATACATATGAATTTTCTTGTGATTAAATATTGAATTTGAAACGAAATATTCCTTTTCATTTCCTTTATCAACAAGATGAACAAGAAAAATGAAATATTTCTCTATTTAAGATAGTAAACGCGATCAACAAAGACGACACTATTATTTACATGCATTATTTACGTAACAAATGCAAATCATGAGCGCTCTAAATTACGCGCAGGAAAATACTCTCGAACAAATAGACATTTTCTTACTTTGCGTTAACATTTGAAAGACAAAGGAGTCGTTCCCATATTTTTGCATACTTACACCGTGACAGTAACGGTGCTTGGTTCATAAAGGAGAGGGAATTTGTATGATAATATTCATTTTGCATTCACTTGGTTATTCTTCGTCACGGCTTGTTGTAGATTGCGCTCCGGGGAAATTCGTTGCCGTGTCGCGAGTATTGATAGCTGAGATGTTAGTTGTATAGAAGTGACCGGTGTATTAATTTTTTATAAAATGAGGGTGAAGAAAGAGCACATAGTCTATCTGATGGCAAGTGGATGATGAGGCACATAGACATTTACATCCTATTCTCATTTTCTCATTTAAAATGCAGGTGCATTGTTATCACTCAGAACTAAGATAAAATATCTCATTTCCAATGAAAATTGTCTCCGATAGTAAATAGCGTCTCCAGTATTAAGACCTTATTTGTTTCTTTATTGCAGTTGCAATTATCATCATCATCATCAACAACAAGAACAACAACAGTAGTCCTATGTCCGCCACTGAAGATGTCTTTTCAAGAATGCGCCAGCCATCCCATGGAAAATTTGGCCATACTGGTGAGTATTGAAATAATACTTTTTCAATTATACTCTTTGTAACAGTGGACTTACGTATTTGATAATAAGTTCTAGATATATTTTCACATCAAAAATACGTGATTTATTGTGAATTTAATCTTTTACTTGTCTCTTCCTCCCTTATTATCGATTTAAGGGAGACTTTACATCTGAATGTTAGTACTTCCAGCAATTTTATATTACTTACAGTAAAATACGCGACGCGTAATTGTTATTTCGGCGGGACCAATAACAATATCAGTAAATACGAACGGCTTAAACGATGACGCTTCGTACGCGAAACTCAAGATATATGCCGCATTGAGTACTATATGATGGGTTACACGCGTCTCCCGGTACAACTTACGGTATATCGACGACTGTTCATATATTGATGGGTTTTGCTATTGACTTATGGAATCGTATTTTATTAACGCTTAGTATTTTATTAAATTTTATTGTTTTTCAGAATAAGTGTGACAAACGACCACAAATCAACATCATCATCACATATCAACCCTTCGGAAAATTAAACAGGAGATTGGCAGCAGCATTCTTCTGGTAAAAACGCGATAATAATAAAAAAAACTGATGACGCCAAACCACCTGTCAAGTGCGGGTAGTACGAAAAATTTGCTTCCTTTGTGGCAGGCCAGGAGGAACAAACCTCCCCATAAATCGCCTTATAGATATTTTTACCATTTTTAATTCATTACGTAAGTACACTGCTGAAGATAGACCTTCCCATAAGGGAGGGAATCACCTTATAAGGGGAATATTTGCTATATTGCCACGCTTGGCAAGCGGGTTGGCGGTCGCAATTATTTTTCTAGTTCTCATTAATAATACGCCCCTATCCGTCCACTGTTTTTTTTTTCTGTCTCTGTAGTAAATATTCTTTCATCGCCACTGCACAACTCATTATGATATAGTACCAATATTTAAAATCAAATTAATCAAGTGGAATTTACTATGTTGATTCCCCAACTGTAGACTATTACTTAATTAATTATTCAGAAGTAACTTTCAGTAAAATAATTTAATTGTCTAACCTAGAATAATTCGTTGGAAACCTAACATCCTAGGGCGCCAGACATTTAGGTTCGCGGCGGGCGCTGCCCACTCGGCTACCCATAATCCGCCCGTAATACCCATAATTCGCTTGGCTTTGTTTAGTGATTTTATAATTTATTTTATATAAAACTAAGGTCTTTTTCATGTATGTTGTTAAGATTATATAAAATATATAAAGTATTTCGGAGTAAAGGCATAGGAATTAAATGAGAGCACCGGAACGTTATCTTTTATTTAATTCTAACTACACATTCATGTACAGTATTTAATAGAACACGCGATATATAATACCAAACACCTATAGAATAAGGTTATGAAACTACATAATATTTTATATTAAGCTGCCTGTACCCATTATATTATTTAAGGAATTCCCAAATAAATAGATATTTTTCTTTCTTTTTTCAATGTCAACATTACGCTTATGCAATAAGACTGAAAAAAACTTGGATTCAGTAACCGAGCGGAGACATGGGATTAGTTACAAACACAACAGTTGGTGAAGCTGCCACTTAGTGAAGTTCCATCTTCATTTATGTATCATTAACAAGTAATGTAATTATTTCACTTATATTTTTAATTATACTCGATTTCTACACATATATGTATTAGATTGAAATTTCTGTCTGTAATATTGAAAAAAAAAACTGGCTTCCATTAAGCTCAGGTTGTTATTTGCATGCTATTAAGATAATAATAACGAAACTTTACGAACAGATAAAGAGCAATGTTAGGGGATAACTGAACAATGTTTTATCCGAAAATATTAAGGTTTAATTTTTGTAAATATGTATTAAATGTTAGAGTTAATAGTATTTCATTATGTTAAACCTAAATAACGCCACATTACTAGATTATATCATGGTGAATCCCAGTTGGTTCGCTAGATACTAATATACCGTTACCGTTACAGTCTATTAAAGTGCTGAACATAGGCCTACCCTATAGATTGCCTCTTAGGAGGGATATTTGCGATAGAATATCTAGAAGTCCGTTTGGGTAAGTATCACCCTCTTACCTATTTCTGCTGCCAAACAGCAGTGTATGCACTGTTATGAGCAGTTCTTAAGGGTGTAAAGAGCCAGCGTATATAATACATTTGTGATTTTTCGAACAGAAATACGACACTTACGGGAGGATGTAATTTTTTTTAGGATAGGGTGACAAACTAGCACACAATCCACCTGATGATAAGTGGTTGCTGTGGCCCATAGACATCTACATCTATCCTCGTTTGCGAATCAAAATTTAGACGCGTTTGTCACCCGTGAGGACTTGGAATGCCTCTTTTCCAGTAAAAAGGGTCTCCGATTCTCTACACTCACCATACGAAACACAGCAGTGTTAAGCTGCTATTTAACGCTGGTATTCTGTGAGAGCGTCATTCTTCCCCGGAAGAGCCGACCAATTCGTGCTACAACTATACTAATAATTTAGCTGCAGTATGGCTCTACCTCGTCTAATAAGGGGATGAATACCTTTATGTCGTCACCGAAGTCATATGTAAAATTTCTTTATCGACCCTTTAAAGCTGGACATTGACCTCTTTCATAGTATGTGCCTTAGTCATCATACTTAGCAGGCGGATAAAATTTCGCAGCGCACATTTGAGGCTGCTGTCTGACGCATGTTTAGGTCTGGTATAAACGAGATGGTTATACCACCATCTATCAGAAGCCATGAAGTCTGTTTTATAATTTCTATAGTATCTCCTAACAGCACGATTGTTACATATTTTTATGGTCTATTTTATCTCTTTCCTATCTCTTGTTTATAAAATTTCGAGCTTAATAAATTAAGCATTCTACTCAGTGATGCAACTTTAAAGCAAATTGGGGTATCGTCATCATCATTACAGTCCTTCACAAGTCCACTGCTAAACATAGGCCCCCAAGGATCAGGCCCTCTCCCAAGGAATGTCACAAAGCACGGTCCTGAGCCACCTGCATCCATCGACTTCCTGCATATCTTACTAGGTCGTCACTCCATCTAGTGGGGGGACGTCCTACACTTCGTCTGCTGGTACGAGGCCGCCACTCGAGAACCTTTTTTCCAAATTTCTAAGTGATAAACGTAAAAATTGGGGTAAGTACTCTTCAAATGCGAATATTGCCAATTTAACGAAAACACAATCATAGTGTTCTAGACTTATGAATACAAGATACATTCGGTAAGCTTTGCCAATCACGTTTGGGCGAGCATGTGTTTAATCTGTCTGTTTTGTTGCCAAACGAGCCCTGCATAATTGGAAACACATGCAAACGTTTCAGCTTTCCATGGATAGAATTGATTGTTGACAATTATTATATTTATTGACAAAATAGGTTTTCCATAATTTAGCAGAAACATCTATATACATAAATAAAAAATTAAAGTGCCTGCCGGTAACATCTAAATAACATCCCTTTTTAAGACAATTAATAGAATCAGGCGTTACTTTGCGGAAGTAATTTTTTGACAACTTTAATAAAATCCCTTTATTTAGCCGAGAGGGTTATTTGCATGCCATTGTCATTTGCCATACATGAATAACTATGATGCATGTGGTAGAGCCATGCTGCAGCTATATTAATAGTATAGTTGTAACACGAATGGGTTGGCTCGACCGGGGAAGGACTACGCTCTCACCTATACCAGAATACCAGCGTACAATAGCAGCTTAATGCTGCTGTGTTTCATATGGTGAGTGTAGAGAACCGGAGACCGATTTTACTGGAAAAGAGGCATTCTATCTTTGTCCTCACAGCTGACAACGCATCTGCATTTTAATTCGCAAACGAACATAGATGTATATGTCTATGGGCCACAGCAACCACTTACCATCAGGTGGACTTTGTGATCGTTTGCCACCTTTATTCTATAAAAAAATCTATAAAAAATATCCGTCAGTCTATGTGTGTGTCTGTTGATACGACGTAATCTTTAGAAGAGCTGAAATTTTGTATAGTAATGAAACTTGACAGATAAAAAGAGAGCAATGCCAGGTCTGATCTAGGCCTTATTTTATGCGAGTTAAGACATCAAAAAAAAGTGATAATATTTACTATCTTAATTCCAAATTTTCATTTATTATTATTCTTATTTTTATTAATTATGAACAAAGTTTGTTATTAGGTCTACATCAGCCAAATATTAAAATTTGATATTTTTTATACATGCATATACACTAATTCAATACACTTACACTCAAACAGCACACATCCCACAAAAATTGATCGAGTTGAACAATTGATATTTTTAAAAGTTATCGTGTTTACGCCGCCGTGCGAACTTGATAAATCCACACCATAAGCCACTAAAACCCCATTTTTATGTTAAAATATTAGTTAATCTATTTAAAAAAGATAATAATAAGTTCAACAATCATTAATCTTTCTTACAATGTCATTTCTATATCATTTATATGTATAATATGATTGCTAGATACGATTTGATGCGACAATACGTTGAAATCTTAATTTTTAGGCCCTAGCAGAACATATCTGTGCGCTTCGCGCTTCAATAGAAAATTATTCTTTCTCAAAATAACTTGTTGAAAATTACAAAATATGCTAGACGCAGGATATTACAAAGAGCGTGTTTACAGTTTCTCCGTACAAATGAGATTGCTTTTTAGCAAAATTTCAACATTACTTTTATAAAATGATTGGGTTGTTATAATGGTGTAGATATTTTTATTTTAAAATAAAAGTATTTGCAAATCTATCGAAAATAGGCATCATAATATTCTCTTAATTGTTTTTACAAAATTACAAAAAAAAAATATTTTTTGAGGTGATGCACGGAGAAAGCAATGGAGGTTCTCAATTCGACTGCATACTTTTTCATGTTACGACATATTTACACTAGCTATGCAACGATTATAAATTGTCTATTTTTATCGTCAAGCGTAATTATGAAAACGTAGTAGTCGAAGTTTTTAATGTCCGAATTAATGAACAAGTTTGATTACAAATTATTTCATATGGCGGCGAGGTTATAAAATACCGGCTGGATCAAGAGTGAGCAAGAGGTTGCGTCACTCTAGCAAAGCGTCACCTCATATCGATGGTAGTGGGGTGTAATTGAGGATATATAAAAAAAACCCCAACTCGTTTGTGCAGTATAAAGTTATATACTATAGACGCCATGCGCGAAAGAGTCCATCTAAGCCATTCCACGTAGTACGAAGGCGACACTGAAAGTTTTTAGAACTGGCCACTTGTAAACGATATAATAAAAAAATAAGTTCAAATTTTGAAAATGGAACTTTTTGCTAATATTATTGTGTATGTTTTTTATTAATTTGTCATTTGTTTACTATTTGGCGGCAAATTAAAAATTGTCTGTGTCACGTCAGCATGAATTTAACGCGAGAAAATTTTCGTACAATTATTTTTTATGACTTTCGATGTCATTTAAGTCAACAAAAGAGTTATGATAGACTTCGATTGGCCGTTCAAGATGAATGCCCCATGTCGTGCCCCTATATACAACTGGTTTAATGAATTT